TTTAGTTCAAAATACGGTTGCGTCCTTTCTCATTTTTGTAGAATCACCGAAAAACGGCTATCATAAACTCACAAAAAGGTGCGTTTTGGATCGGTGATTCTGCAAAGAGACGGTTTATGGGGAAGCGAATCCAGCTGCAGAGCCAGAATCATGCCTGGAGGAGCCAGAGAAGTGAGCATAAACAGTACACCGTGGAACTGCGATTACGATGAGCGTTTCAATCGCTCATTCTGCCATCAAAATTGAGCATAAACGTACCCTAAATGAAACCAAAGATCTATAAGAAAGTTCATGTCACTTCATCTGCATTTCAAAGGCAGATTGGGGGGGGGGTGGTTGAGGGAGTGGCTAAAGCACCTGCGGCTTCCCCTGCTGGTATTACAACATTTAATTTGTGTTCAGCACCGAGTAGGAATTGCTCAGTGTGTTGTAGGGTCTGGTCTAGCTACCATAAAGAGAACTGAGAAACTGGAGACGCTCCTTTATTTTCAGTTTCTGTCCTCCATTACCATTTGGTTATCGACTAAAATCTATGTTTCTGTATAAAAACATTAATTGACCCGAGGTAAATGTACACATATGAGGGTTCAGTACCTTGGTATTTCCATTTTGTGCTTTTGGTGAGCTCCACTCTCTGTATAATACGTGTATACTATATCTCCCTGAGCAGCGGTGTAGCGACATGGGGACACAGTGTCTCCCAAGCAAATGGTGGTAAAAAGACAAAACGAAAGGGAGAGGGGAAAGGGAGGTGAGAAAAAATATGATTATTCATTTAACATCACCCCCCTAATCACATCTTGTGAATTCATATTCAATCCACCTATTAAAACAAGTGCCACCCTCCCCCATAATACCAGTGCCCCCTGAAAACAGCTGGGCCAATGCTACACCACTGTCTCTACCTCAAGTCAAACTATATGATCCTTAGGCAAATGAAAATGGTACAAAAGATTACATGATAACTCTGTCATTTCACCAAACTGACTCAAAATGAAACGATTCTTGGCAAATTTGTCTGTCTGTCATTGATTTCATCAGTGTGACTTGGGTATTATGCACCACCATTGCATGAGTCTAAGGAGATGATATATAGCCAAAGACTGGAGTGTTAAAATGTAACCAGGCTTGCTCTTATACAGAAAACAAGTTTGAGTCAAGGGTGCTATGTTAGGCCATTTACTTGACTTCTATTGTTGAGAAAATGGACTGCCCATTATCAGTGTTCAAACTTTGTAAGTTGTAATTCTGTAATATTCTGAGTGACAGACTTCAAACTTGTCAGTAACATGGCTCACAAAGCAGCAATATGTAAACAGGTTCAGACTTTTGTAATTAAATTCCTAAAGCAGGTGGATGCAATTATTTGTGACTATCAGGCCTTTGATAGGAAAGGGGTCTGCATTTGTGAACTGCTTTATACATTTAAGTCAAACTTCATACTGTATACATGTATGGGTAGCGTTTCACAAAGCCATCTTAAGTACAAGTTCGCTGACAACTTATTGAAATGTATTCAATTTAAAGCATGCAATGTGACTTGTATCAAATGTGTACATATATTGGTACTCTTGATTATCCAAAAATGTTGATTGATTAACTGGTCTAGACTTCAGTCATGGTACAATTAAATTTCACTAAGTGCTCTCCATTTTTTTTTCCAGCACTGATTAGGAAATTTGAAGTGTGCTGTAGCTATGGTCTGGTCTACCATAAAAAGCAATGAGAAACTGGAGTTGCTCATTCATTTTCAGTTTCTGTCTTCCGTTGTCACTTGGTTATCAACTGAAATCTATATTTCAGTTTAAAAGCATTAAATGACCTGAGGTAAATGTTCACATATGATGGTCTAGTACTTTAATACGTGTTTCTATGTTTTGCTCTTGGTGAGCTCCACCCTGTATACCTGTATTCTACATTCCCTGAGCAGTGGCATAGCTACAAAGGGACACAATGTACGTCTCCCAATCAAATGATGGAAAACAAGACAAAATGGAAGAGGAAAAAAGACATAAGTAAAGGGAGATGGAAAAGGGAGGTTAAAACAAAAATGATATTAATCCCTTAATTAATATCATCCCCTAAATCTGAGATCTTACAAATTCACATTCAATTCACCTATTAGTACAGGTTCCGCCCTCCTCCATAATAACAGTGCCCCCTAAACAGCTGGGCCAATGCTACACCACTGTCTCTACCTCAAGTAAAACTGTATGATCCTTAGGCAAATGAAATTGCTACACAAAAGCTTTTATTAAATGCTATACCTCTGTCATTTCAAAAAACTGACTAAAAACGAAACAATTATTGGCAAATTCGTCTGTCATTGGTCTATCATGAGTGTGACTGAGGTATACATGTTACATCAGCTTACTTCAAATCATCAAGTCCGGTTGGGTGGTCGCTTTACACGACCTTTACACGAAACTAAAACGGAAGATCATCCAACCTTTCGTAGATTTGCCTTACGGTTTTCACAAAGTGTCTGGCAAATTGGACCAGACTATTTGAAGATGAGAGGGGTTTATTTTGTAATCATATTACTCCCGACATTTCGTGAATAAAGGGGCATGTTTTCACAAAAGGTCTGGTAACGCTGCCACAATGACCCAATGATTCAAAGTGAGCCTGTTACATTAACCCTATGTTCTAAGGCAGTGTATGAGCCTGTGTACTATGAGCCTAAGGAGTTTGGGTGAGGGGTGCTATATGGTAGGCCATTTACTTAAGTTTATTGTTGAGAAAATGGACTGCCCGTTATCAGTGTTCAAACTTCGTGAATTGTGGTACATAAGTCTTACAATGAAAGATAAATAGCATCAATGTCTGAGCTGTACAGTCTATATGATATATATGCATAACAGAATCTAAAAAGGGCCAAGATATGGACCTAATTACTACTTGGCATATAATTTAGGCACCACAGTTTGGCAGAAATAAATGGTTTCACAATATGGCTGATGTCGGCACCACTTTATTGGGAAAATAGTCTAAACTGCATGGCAGATGTCAGCACCAGTGCACAGGAGAAATGGGCCCCACTACGTGGCGGATATATGTACCACTCCGTAGCAAAAAGGGTACCACTATGTGGCGGATATATGTACCGTTACCTAGCAGATACATGCACAACTACAAGGCTGATGAAAGTATAGCTGACAATGGGTCAGCCTATGTTGTGGATATAAGCACCACTACATAGCAGAAATGAGTCATTACAGACTGACTACAGGCATCACTGACATAGCAGATAAAAGGCTAATAGCATAGATACTAGAGACTACAATGGTTTATCTTCAAACAAGGCTGTTCCAGCCCTAAACTATGCAATTAGGTTATAATTGTAACCTAATTAAAACCAAAATGATATTGGAGGACCACTCCATAGCAGACATGAGCCATATACAAGAAGCCATTAAAGAGTTGGAATTATAACATCATTCTAAACAAATTGAGAAAAAGAATCACCATATAGACTGTGCAAGCCTTAGACTGATTGATGCTCTGGTGCCATGAACCTTCCCGCTCATAAACATCAGCATGATTTAAAAATTATAATCTATATAGTCTTTGTTATCATTTCCCAGGCTCATAGACATAGCAAAGTTATTGTTGGAACATGTGGATTAACTGTTTAACTTCATATATGCCAGTATCGATCATGAAAGGCATTTACATGTACTTGTAACATCAGTATTTTTCAGTTATTTTGGTATGTTATGTATGTATTTTGTCTCTTTACGTGTATGTTTATATTGCATTACTTGTACATACCAACCAGTGGAAATCAGATTTCCTGATGCAGACAAGAAATAATGTACTTATAATTATACTTATTTGAGTTCAAAGTAACATTACATCAAAAGTCTGTCAGCCTAACAAAATTCTCTCTGAGGTCATATGCTGACGATGATGGTCCAGATTTAAATGTCGGCCATGCCACGACACTTTTTATGTTTGAAAAACTGATAGATTAGCTTTATATCTAAGTGAAAATAATAATGTAACAGTTCTGTGCCTCGGAATAGAATTGTCTAGATAGATGGCGCTATAGAAATGCCTATTATTATTATTATTATTATTAAGACAGCAATCTTAATTGTAATCACAAAGTGCTACATGTCCATATGAGAAAATAAATTGCAGTGAAGACTGATTACAAAATAAGTGTCTTCATTGCTTTGTTTTGTTTTGTGTTTTGTTTTGTTGCTTAAATTGTTTCCTTATTTCAAATTTGGTGTGATGTTCTTACCTTCTTCTCCTCTGCTTTTCTCTCTGTCATGTCCTTGGTAAATGTGCTTTTCTTGAACCACTTAGTGGAGCTAGCTTGCAGTCCTTACATTGTCAGATGTTTGCTTGTGAGATGAGCTGAACGGGGATAATGAGTCTGTTTGGCTGGCGGGCTTCTCTTGAATGTCGTTTCCTTGTGACATGAACTGAACAGGGATGATGAGTCTGTTTGGCTGGCGGGCTTCTCTTGAATGTTGTTTGCTTGTGAGATGAACTGAACAGGGATGATGAGTCTGTTTGGCTGGCAGGCTACTCTTGAATGTTGTTTGCTTGTGAGATGAACTGAACGGGGATGATGAGTTTGTTTGGCTGGCAGGCTTCTCTTGAATGTCGTTTGCTTGTGAGATGAACTGAACGGGGATGATGAGTCTGTTTGGCTGGCGGGCTTCTCTTTAATGTCCTTTGCTTGTGACATGAGCTGAACAGGGATGATGAGTCTGTTTGGCTGGCAGGCTTCTCTTGAATGTCGTTTGCTTGTGAGATGAGCTGAACAGGGATGAGGAGTCTGTTTGGCTGGCGGACTTCTCTTGAATGTTGTTTGCTTGTGAGATGAACTGAACAGGGATGATGAGTCTGTTTGGCTGGCGGGCTTCTCTTGAATGTTGTTTGCTTGTGAGATGAACTGAAGAGGGATGATGAGTCTGTTTGGCTGGCGGGCTACTCTTGAATGTTGTTTGCTTGTGAGATGAGCTGAACGGGGATGATGGGTCCATTTGGCTGGCGGGCTTCTCTTGAATGTCGTTTGCTTGTGAGATGAGCTGAATGGGGATGATGAGTCTGTTTGGCTGGCGGGCTTCTCTTGAATGTTGTGAGATGAACTGCTCAGTAAGGAGGAGGAGGTTATCTGCAAGGTAGATGTCCAGGTAGATGAATAGACATCTTCAAAGAAAATTGGTGGGTACCCATTGATGAAAGAGATGTGGAGGCAGTAGGAGAAAGATGAAGCAAGGTAGAGAGAATGAGAGAGAGAGATAAAGATAGAGAGATAGACAAACAGAGAGAGGGAGAGAGAGAGATGGGTAATAGGGAGATGAATGACAGCCTACAATGATTGTGTGACTTTGTAGGTATTTATTTTGGTACATCCACCAGCCAAGCTAGCAAGCATGCACGTACAGGGGGGGGGGGTTTGGGGGATAAATGCCCCCTAACAGAGAGAGAGAGAGATACCTGGAATTCCCGCTGAACAAATTAAAATGCAAACAAAACAAAAAAATCACATTTTTTAAAGAATTAGCATTGATTGGATAAGAAGTTCCAAAGGATACCTGAATAAACCAGTTAGCGTGTTTATTCGTATTAAAAAAAGAAAATTAAAATAAATTATTTCATGACGCAAAGTTATTCTGCGTCTGCACATACCGATGTGGGTTCAAAGACCTTGGTCTTTGCTTGAGCCTTGTTCATCAAAATCATTTATTTACTTTCCTTTAGGGGGGAGGTATTGAGTTCTAGAAAGGGTCAGGAAATTGTCCATTTTATCTTCCAACCTATTTGTAATTACACAAGATTAATCAATATAAATTTTTGGAAAATTTGTGATTTACTGCTGTGTTTTATCACAATAAAAAATAAAAAAGATAATAGTATAATGGGTAATGATAAGGGACCACCTTGAAAGCGTATTATGTGGCTAAAAATTACACTATTTGATAGACCCCTTCAAAACAATTCATCCTAAGTTTTATTATGTTATAATACTTTAATCAAATTTCTCAATTAGATTATTAGAACTTTCTTACCCTTCCCAGAACTCAACCCTCCCTTTTAGTAATCAAAAAGAGCAATTTTGGCTCTAAAAGGGCCCTTTTGCCCCCTTGATTATGCATATTTCACCCCTAACGAGGCAACTTGAAAAAACACAATATTGGCTTCAGAGGGGCACTTTGCTGGAATTGAAGAATAATTTTTTGACCATGACAGGGCACTGTATATTACCACATTGGGCAATTTTGGCTCTAGAAGGACACTCTTGCCATTTGACAAAGATTTTTTTTCTTCCCCTGACGGAGAAAAATTTGCATGGAACCCCCCCCCCCCCCTTTGGAACTTCCTGGATCCGCCCCTGACTTCTAGAAGATACGCTGAGTAAGACTGGGTCAGTGGAAGGTCGTATTACCTTAATCGAGGCAAGCTGGTCCGAGTAAGAGGATATGGTCAACTAATGGTGTAAGTCAAATATTTATGGGATATTTACTGCTGCAGGGATTAACTTACGCAGACTAGGAAGCCCCTGTCTGAACATGGCTATAACTTTATTATGATAATTTAACCATAGAGTAAGGATTTTGGTATGCTTCAACAATGTCCTTTCATTCTTTTAACTTATTAGAATATAAAATGTGTAAATTTACTTAATTACTGTTACTACTCAATGCTCAAGATATGATTTATGTATATTTGATGAATTACTGTGCAATGCTAGATAGATAGATCAGGGAGGTGAAAGAACAGGAGGCGAAACTCTTGTAATTTATTCAAACGCATTCTTGAGTTCTAAAGCGTAACAATGGGATGTGTAACATTCCACTTGGCTTTGAAGTTCCATGCTCCGAACCGCGCTTCCACTGCGGGGAATTTCGGAAGCCCGGCACCAGTTTTACATTTATTACAAAATATTAAATTACCGGCAAAATTACAGTGTAAATTAAAAACTTTATATGGGAATTTTATTGGGAATAGTGCATCAAACAATTTTTCAAATTTAGAACTCTGTCCTACCTTTAAATTGTGTGCCAGAGTTGGTAAAAGAAAAATTACATCCTGTCAAAAACTCAATATTTTAGGATGATGCGCTAATTTGTGCATGCTTTAATGTCCCGTTATTTGATCCATGATTTACAATCTTCAATAACATTAAGTTTGCTAATGCGTGTTTTCGCGTGTTTTTTGTATTTTTCAAGTTTAAAAAAGAATGAAATTACACAAGTTTGTGTTCGCTTGTTCTACTCTTTACACATTCAACAATGGATGAGAAATCATTGGAAGGGACAGCGAACAGTTGCTGTGATACCATTTTCTGATGTAGGAATTCTAAATCCTAAAATTTCATGCGCTCTTTTATCTCACCACCTGGTCAACAGCTGCAGATTAGCGCATAACTTTCCGGCGGCTTGGAGCATGGGGTCAAAGGAAAACGGCTTGATTCAGGTCCTTCTCTATCACGTCCCTGGATAGATAGACACTATTATAGATATAATACAAATATACACTGTTCTGATAAGTTCTGGTTAAAACTATGGCCAAAGAAAATAGTCACTGAGGCCCATAGTTTTAACCAGTACCTTGAGAAGAAGACAGCTAGGGTATATAATTTTTGTTTTTTAAATCCTGTATAAACAGCAACAAAATGTATTTAAGAAGAAAAGAAAAATTGTTAAAATTATAATTTCTAACATTTTAACTTCTTTTTTTATTTAAACAAATTTATACAAGTTTAGAAATGTAAACATTTTGATGAAATGTTTAAACTAAAAATTAAAAAATTACCAACAACAAAAAATTTCAACTCCCTAATAGTATTTTCCAATTAGTACCTTTTCAGAGCAACCTTAAAATGGTTAAAATATTTCTGGTCACATGACGAGCTCTCAATCAATCTAAAACTAATCAATTTTTGATGCACTGATATAGATATGTCATTTACTACCACTTTTCATGATTTTTCATTATGTTTGTCCTTACTCTTCTCAAATAAGCACTTACCTTCGATAACGATGTACTTTCTCTCCTAGCCCTCCTGCTATTCCTGAGGGACTCTTTCCATTCCTCAGCTATGCTTCAATAGGTTCCTCACATTCTATGAATTGAGAATCATTGAGATGTGGTTATTTATACTATAGTTGTATTGTATAATTTTGTATTTCATATGTATGTCTATATTTTCTGTAAAATGTGGACCAATAAAACTTGAAACTTGAAATGTCAAGAAGTGCATACCATTGTATGTTGTCAATAATTAGATCATCAGAATATACTGAAGTTGTGCAAAATACAAACTTTCTTATTGGCAATGATTCTACTTCCATTTTATGCAATATACTTACAATGCTGTGTGCAATAATGCAGAACAAACTGCCTTGTTGAATCTCTTGAGCACTGTAGCCCTTTAAGGGTCATAGCCTGGCAGCGTGGGCGTCGGCGATTTATCATCTGTATAATCCTAGTATGATGAAAATACATGTAAGATATAGTTAATACACTTAATATACTTAATCGAATGATCAAGACAAATGAATGATTAAAGTATTTCAGTTATATTTCAGTAATCTGTTCACAATGATAACATGAAATATTGAAATACAAAAATAAGTTATGGAATATATATTATTATCAAAGTGTGCCTATACAAAAATCATATCATATCTTTCTAGTAAATGTAATATATGGAATTGCTCTTTAATAATTCTTTGAACAATTTCTAATTAGTTTGCTAAATGGTTGTTTGGTATATGTTCATTTTGTAATCACTGCATTGGTAATTCATATTCCTGTGATCTCTTGACTTATGCATCAAGAAATAATTGACACTCTGTTCCTAAAATCTAAATGATGTACATAAAAGAGACCAAATGAGGTGAAAGTGTATTTGCAGCCAATATGTCTGTGAAATTATTAAACTGATCATTCAGATTTCAAAATATTTCAAAATACATGTATAAGCTGAAAAACTCTCTTGATAAGAAACATGGGTGGATAGTGATTCTTTACAATTTTGATATATTTGGATGCCTCTGTGGATGTATTATAAGCACTATAAAATTTAACCCCTAAAACATTTCCGCTTTCAAGAAAAATTAAATATAAAAATTTACCGGTGCTCCCGGTAGATTTTGATAAATTTCAAATAGCGCCTACGGCCGTACAATAGCTAAGACCATGAAAATCTCAGAATATGTAGTTGTGATAAAATTTCCAAACGGAAACAGCTAATCAATTGATTTAGTCAAGAAACATTGTTTTATAGCTTAATTAATATCATGACCTTGAGAGGGAGCTATATAATAAACTTCCACCTTGTGCTGTTGATCATATGACATCATTTGACACCGCTCTCATTCAAAAGTACAAAATTATTAAGTCAACTTAAATTTCTCCTTCCCATACTTTTATTGATACATTTATATGACAAACTTTGCAAACGTTGTTGGTCCGTATTACTTGCTCTTATATTATACTTTTGTAATGTTTTTTTTATGGAAATGTTACATTTTGTTGTTGTTTCATTTTCTCATTCATGTATTGTGTTGAATTTCATATTTATATGCACAGGGCCCTAAAGGATAACAGTGACTAAGCCACCTTCGGTATGATAAAACAAAAACATATGAATAACTAATTTTTTTAAAGTAAATATTCAAAAAGATTTTCATGAAACTGTAATTACTTCATCAACTTAGGAAGTTTTCATCCTTATAACGCAAGCTGTGATGTAGGAAACAAAACAAAATATTCATAGTATATGTAAATTATACTTTAAGCTTAACTGCATCAGGTGAACATTGAACCAATCAGATAGAGAGAGAGAGAGAGAGAGATAGATATATGAAAGGAAAGTGGATGAAAAGGGTGAATGTGAATGAGGGATAATGAAAGGGATGAATCATGGATATGAAGGGGAGTTTAAGAGTTCAAAATAAATCCCTACAAACTAGTCTTCCTATTACAAATAAAATGTCCTCATTTCATAATCTCAATCAAATGTCTTCATTATCATCATTAATCATCCCATTCTATCTTTGTTACCAGCATCATCATAATATTAATTTGATCAAGATTATTATCATAACTTTCCTCATCATGATTAACTTCAACATTTTTGTCGTCACCATCATCATCATCATCATCATCATCAACATTCACCCTCTATATTCACATCAATTCATAAATCAATGAGCTAATTGAGGTTGGTATAGTGAGGGGAGGGTTGTTGATTCCTGTGCTGTTATCGACCGACGTTATCAACATGCACACGAATATCCTTCCCCAAAACTTGTTATGGCTTATTTTGTAAATTCTTTAAGTGTCCTTTTCCCTTTGGATATGGGCCCCCTTTTCTTCTCACCCTAAAATGTACTCTTAATTTAAAGCGACTAAGAGCATCTTTTTCTTTCATTTCACCCAAAGCTCGCTCACTACGCTTGCATTTTAAGTTATTATGATTTTGTTTCTTATATAAAGATCTTTTAAGTCTTTCATGATTAGGATTTTTCCTCCCTCTTTATAAGATGTAATTTTTCGCTTTGCGACTTCACAAAGTAAAAAATTGAAATCTTAAATTAAATATTCAGACCATCAGACTCAACTGCAAAGTATGATGCTTAACCCTTACTGTACTGAGCTATTTTGAGCACCTCACTGACTGGGGGGGGGGGCAAGGAGGCCCCCCCCCCCCTCCCCCCCCCCCCCCACTATGATCTCGGCCATTGAATGTCCGAAGGTCACAAAAATGTGCATGTTTGTAGATATTTACGTCAGGAACAAGATGGTATAATTAGTTTTTTCCTACTAAGCAAATTTTTGTCGTCATAGCCTAATTACTTATGCAAAATGCTAATTTTATGCATTTTACAGAAAACATATTTGTCTGTAGACTTGTGAATAATCTTGAAAATGTATTGAATAAATGTTTCCTTCATCTCAAAATGTTTTTCTGAAGAAAAAAGTTCGAAATTCATCATTTTATTTTCTTATGTATTTTATTGTTGTTTTATTTCTAATGTATTATTTTGTTCGTGAATACATCAAGTTACTTTGAGAAACATATAAAAGCAATTTGATATCAATTCATATCTCCCACTTAGGAAGAAATACATCGTCCTAATCTAAACCTGTATTCACATTTCTGCTTGTACATGTATGAATATATATGCAATTATAGCACTTTTTAATGACATGCGCATACTAATTGTTATGTAACACCTTACAGGTATATCCAATTTCAACGAAAATGGTATCAAAATGTGCGTAAGACTTGAGGGAAAAAAGTCATGAAACGACAATTCAAAATTCCAAGCGGTTGCGGCGCAATCTCCGAAAATGTCGAGACAGTGAGGGTTAAGCAGTATCTTGGACCATGTGCAGAGAAAAACAAACAATGAAATCATCCCTGATAATCTAATCACAATGTAGGGGTATCATATGGCCTAAAAATGTCTATAAATTGTATATTTTTGCTTTGAGGTTTCCCTTTGTGCGTGCCCCCCCCCTTTTTTTTCCAGAAAGTGCCCTTTTTTGTTGGTGCCCTTCCCCCCCCCCCCCCACTTTTAAAGTCGCTCTGCCAGGCTCTCGTCCATGGTGAGAGGTGATTGTTAAATCTTGAAGAACAAAACATGCAGGAAAACCTGAGGTTTTTTAAAGCTAGGATATCGAAATTCGAGACGTGAATAACCCCCTCCAACACCCTCTCCTGTTCAGTTCCTTCGCTACCTTGCGGGGTCACATTAATGATGCCATCCAATTTCTAAACACCCCCCTTGAAAAATCCTGCGTATGCCACTGATCACTAGTATCATTATTATCAACTTACTGATTACTTCTAGGCTAGGTGTTAAAATTAAAACAATTATTCTCAGATTCTAATCGGGCGACTATACACACAAACAAATCAACGATTCTCTTTCAGGAGACAAGTGTGAAGCTTATAAAACCTTTGACAAGCAAATAAAAAGGTCATCACATTTCTACATGTTACTTTCTAGGTGATTTTTCTTGATCCAAGTTGTCTGATGAAGCAAAAGGGTAATTACCGTATTTGCCGGCGATAAGGCCGCACCGCCGCATAGGCCGCACCCCCAACTTGGACATTTCAAAGAGGAAAAAAAAAAAAAAAAAAAAAAAAAACCCAACGGACAAAACAAAATAATCGTAATTTTCTTGTAAAACACTATTTTTTTTTTACAAACTGATACCAAATTCATCAATATTCTTATAATTTACCGGAAGTTTAGCTCAAAAAGTGATCGCGGGCAGATTTGGTGTCCAATACCCCTACCACAATGTACGGTGTAATGCGAAACTGCATGAAATGGAAAAACAAAATGGCGACTTCGAATGGATGCTTCGCGGCAGCTTCGTTAAATGGTCCCTTCCTTCACGAACTTAGATCAAGATCTATCGGTAAATGTTGGTTTAGCAATTTATTTTCGTATTCATGTCAACAATGCAAGATAAAACTGTCGGTAAGATGTGTTTAAATGTCCTGTACAATCTAGTTATTGTACCGTTAGTAGATCTAGTCCCATACGTGCAAATTCGTGCTGGTTTTGACTTTTTTTTTTTTTTACTCTTTCGTCGTAAAGGCCGCACCCCAACTTTTTGATATTTTCTCTTCCAAAAATACTGCGGCCTTTACGCCGGCAAATACGGTAGTACACTTGAAATTAGGGGTGCATTTGATGGTGAGAGGAAACGATGACACTTATCAGAAAAAAGAAGCATGTGTCAAAGTACAAAGAGTAATTATCAGGGGTGAAAATGGGGCACTTCTTACACCTTTAAAATGCGGCGCTCACTAGGGATGAAAAAAGGCACCAAGATTAGGAAATGGGCATTTGCCAACAGAAAAGGGGCACCCATCAGATATTGATAGGGGCATTTATAAGAGGTGAAAAGGGGCATTTATGAAAAGGGGATAGGTCCCTTTTTAGAAAGGAAAAGGGGCATGTACCATTGTTAAAAGGGAAATTATGAGAGGTGAAAAGGGGCACTTATCGCACCTGAAAGAGGAAATGACCAGATATGAAAAGGGGCCCTTATGAGAATAAAAAAGGGGCATAATAAAGGAAAATGTGCATTAGTTGAAAGAAAAGGGGCACCAATTAGATTTTATTACGGGGATTTATCAAAGGTAAAGGGGGCACTTAATCAAAGTGAAATGGACTCTGGAGTAACTTCTTGTACCTGAAAAAAGTCATTTACCAGAAATGAAAAGGGGCTTTTATGAGATGGGAAAGGGGCTCTTTTTTTAATGGGGGCATTTATCAGGAAAAGGGGCACTTATTAGAAAGGAAAAGGGGCTCATGTGAAAATATAAGGTTTGCTTATCCGAGTTAAAAAGGGAGTAGTTATTAAAAGTGGAAGGGGCACTTTCTACGAAGGAAAAGGGGCATTTGTCAAAATAAAAAAGATACCTCTCAGATTTGAATAAGGCAATTATCAGAGGTGAAGGGGCACTTATCAGAGATGAAAATGGGCACTTATCAGAGTGCTCTGTTTGTGT